ATATATTTTTATTATTTTAAATTAATATTTTATATATTTTTAAATATTTAAAAACAAAAAAATCTACGACAATAACACAACTAAGCAACAAAGCCACTAATAATATAAAATTAATATTTATGTTCAACCCCTTAAAATAAAGAGAAAAATGTTATTATATATTTAGTAGTTTTAATTAATAAATCACAATTGAAAAAAACTAAAATAGTTTTCTTTATGCTTTGAAAGTAAGTTACTACTCTTTTCCTATAGTAGTTTATTACCATATAGTTTTAAAATGTTTTTGCTTTTAATTTTTTGAAAATCTAGCTAATGAATTTATTTCTTTCCTAGTTATATTTTGCACAAAAGTTGAAAGGCAGAAAATTTGTTAGCTTAATTTCAAGTCACAAAAAATCACAGCGTTTCTCGGCAAGAAAAGAAACGGAAGGAAAAGAAAAGTAACATAAAGAAAAGTATGGGAAGAAGTAATTCGCCCGACCGCAAGAATAAGGTAAGGAACCGAAAAAATAAGGGAAAGAAAAGTAACATAAAGAAGAAAAGTAAGGGAAGTAATTCGTTAAGGGAAGGAAAAGAAAAGCATCACATAAATTTAGGGTGACGACTCATGATAGGAGAAGTCTTAAAATAACAAAAATAAATTTTAAAGTTCTAATTTTCATTTCTTAAGTGATTTCTGACATCTTGAAAGGACTTTATTTTGGGTAGGGAAAAGACATCAAATTTTGAGATTACTCAAATGTATGAGAAAATTGTTGATATCAGCGAAGAATTTAATTCCCTTTTAATTCAATTAAAAAAAAAAAGGAAATTGATGAAAGGGAAAAAAAAGTTCTAATATAGAGCTTATATATTCTATCAATTCCAAAAAAATGAATGGTGTTTATCTTAGAGTTAGAGTTGTTAATGAGTTGAGTTATCATAGAATTATGAATAAATAGAGTCAAGTCGAGTTCTTTAAAACTCAAATTCAAGCTCAATATTATATTAAGTCAAGTCAAGTTCATCTTTTTACCAAATTCAAGTATTATGAGCTAAAGCTCAACTTGCAAGCTCAAGTTGTACTTGCCAATTCAAACTCATATGGTGATTAACTCAATTAATTACTCAAATTTAATTTAAAATCAAAATAAAATTTTAAATATTTAATATGTAATTATTTTTTTAATATAATTGA